TTATGTTACAGTCCTGTTGAAGAGTATGGAGAAATAAGGTACATATTTACATACATAATTAGGTTTTCCCCAGTTGTTTTTGAATTACAAACTAAGGCTGTTTTTATGAGGTGAGCAATTAAATGTACCATAATTTCCTAGGATTTAAAGTGATTTTTGTTAGTGGAATTATCTGTGTTCCCACTCACCCTCTCTGCACCTATGCAGCTCCCTGGGATGCTCTCCAAGAATAGTTCAGTTAGTTTCCAAGTCACTCAACATATTTCACTTTTAAGCAGCTATGTGCTAAAAAGCTTCCACTGTTGTCATTCTGAATCTTTAATGGTATTGAAACTGTCAGGCAAAAATTGCATTCTCCTGCTTTTCTGAGCAGCAGGAGAATGAAGATGACAGAAGAGCCATGTTAATGTTAATCATAGATGAGGAATACAACCGCATTTTTCAGAAACTTAGGGCTCTGCTTTAACAGGCACAGGCTCCTTATTTCCCCCTTCTAGCCCATTATTTTAAAAAAGAAAAACTGCAAATAAAAAATTATAACCAAGAAAAACAATTAGCCAAACTGACTGAATCATGAAGATTCTCCCTGCCTGTATTTCCTATTGATTTTCTAATTGTTGTCATTTTGAATCATTAGATTGTTGTAAGTAGGTTCAACTCAATAATCTTTGAGCAACTTGTGATCATTCACCTTCTTATACTCATAACATCCTTCCGAAATTATTCCCTACTCAGATGGGGCACTGAAGAACAGAGGTCTAAGGTACCTGGGAGCATGATTAACATCCTCTATAATTTAGATGTCTACCACATTGTAGCTGAAGCTACAGTGAAACTGACACTAGAATCCATTTAATGGTTCTTTGAGAGCATTTCTGGCCATTAATCTCATGAAAGCCAAGAGCCGCCCTTGGAGTGTAATGAAAACAAAGTCTGAGACCCTGTTCTCATGCAGACATCTACACCCTAGATATAAAAACTAGTAAAGAAAAAAATACCCCACCATGAAGGATCTAGACAGAACTCAACTTATATCAGAATGTCAAACCTTAAGGAGTAATTCCAACTATGCTGCTGCCATCCCTGCACGTTCCAAAAAAACCCCTAGTACCCTGGAAGTCTTGTCTGTATATGCATACTCCCAGGAAACTCTACAAAGGCGCATCTTCTACAAACTCATTTGAAGCTGTCTCCACTCCAGCAGCCAGGCCATCATGTTAGGGATGGTTTCTGCATAAGGCAAAGAGGGCACATCCCTCAAAGCTGAGTACGGCGCCGCGTTGATGTGTCTCCCGACAATTCCGAGCAGAGTCGGCTCTCCCAGCCAGCTCTAAGCAGGGCAGCATCTCCATACTGCCTGTGACCACCTGGCTCTGCCTCCACTGCCCGAGTGCTTTGGCACAGTTGGTGTTGACAGATTATGCCTATTATTCACCATTACTATTTGTATCCTTTCAAAATGTTCTGCTGAGAGTTCAAAGACAAGGTACTAGCCTCAATGCTCCCCAGATTTCCTACTGTGCAGAAAATTTCCTTTTCTTATCAAATCCACAGAGCTATTTGAGGATCTCAGTTTCTTATTTCAAAATTCTGTTAGAATAGCAGAAACACAGACTCTTTAACTAAAATTCAATAACTTTTTCTATGTCCAATTCTGAGTATTAAGACACCATTGCATTTCTATCAAAGCACATAGAGAGCTCCATAATTCTTGTATTCAGAAGCAACAACAGTCACTAATTGTCCTTATCCTTCCAAACCACCCATGAGTTAAAAAATAGAAAGTTTTCTTTTCCTCCTATGGAACTCAGACTTTGGAAATACAGCTCAGGACCTTTTATTTTCATACTTTTGATGATCAAGGCTTAAGCAAAATAATGTCCAGCACTGCTGCATTACATCTTGCTGCCTTGCAAAATTCATACTTTGCTTCAGCTTCCAAAAGAGCCAATGTATTGGAACAGGTGGACATCTGCTGCAGGATGCACAAAGGACATTTAGGCAGGAAGAGACACCACCTACACCAGTCAAAAAAGCGGCCCACCTGCTGAGCATTCCTGTAAATTCATCTGGAAGTCCAATCCCTGTAGAAGGGAATTTACACCATATACATTCATTTAATTGTGGGGATGCCAGAAATGAGAGGCTGTTGCTTCCCTCCGCATGAACGCTGGACAGAAGCAGACAGCATGCGGGATTTCCTCGCCATTCCCTACCAATGCCCCAAGAGACATTTGCTACTAACCTGCTTATGGTGAGGTCATATCCTGGAAGAAAGTACCACATTTTTTTGTGTACTTGACCATTTTTGTCCTTGCCTTGAAAGAACTCTTCCTTTGGCCTCCTGCTATTTTTCTTGAAAGAGATGACAGCCCTCTCTGCCTTTGCCTTGGTCCTGCTAGTCATCATCTTCTTCTGTTAACTCTTTGCTGAAGCTCTTATACCCCACGGAAATACACACTTCCACAGTTGCTACTAAATGCAAAAAATCCCATAACACACAGCAATTAGCAATGTCAGCTAGCTGGCACTTCTCTTTTGGCCTAATATTGCTGTGGATCAACCACAGCTGCAGTTCTAGGAAGGATTCTGAACAAGTTATTTCTTTTTAAATATTGTTATTCCTGAGACTCTGTTGTGATATCAAATTAATCTGCAATTAATAAATGAGCCAGATTCTTGGTACCAGATGTGATTTTCTTGCCAATGAAAATAGGCTTGGGGGAGACATAAAAAGGTCCTAAAATGCACTAACTCTCATCAACACATAGTACAACCTATGTCAAAAGATTCAACAATTATCATTCTGGGTCTCTATTAATGTACACAACTGTTAAGAACGAACTACTGCAGCTGCATTTTTCTTAAAAACACTATAAACATTTCTCAGATTTAAAACACTGAGACTACACTGAATTATCTGTGTTGTTTCCCATGCACTCTTTCAACTTCCCTGCCCTTCTGCAGCCATATAAAAAGTAACAGAAGATCACACTTGGATGAGGAAGACACACAACAATGATTAAATTTTCACCTCCAAAGCACAGAATAGTGTCAGCATCTTCTACCCCTACTCTACAGCACATGAATTAAAATCTACTATTTCTGTTCCTTTGAATCTTATATTTTAGAAGATTCTTTGAACTAGAGATTTTAAACATGGCATTCTTTTAAAGATCACAGCACACATCTGGTGGTATGAATTCATCATGCTTTCTTCCTCACTTAGTACCCAGGCCAATCAATTTTAGAAATTAGGCTTATGAATTAAGCTGACTGATATCTCTCGGCCGACCTGTTCATTAGGTGAACATTATTTCAAATGAGTCAGAAACTGTCCATAATTTGCCCCAAACATGACAATTAAGTTGAAATGAATGTGGTTTTTTAAAAGTCAAATTTTTTGCTATGTGGTTTCCAAACCAAAGTTTTGAAACTTGCCTTGTAGCTTGCTGAAGTTTAAGTAAATGAGAATTAAAATGAAACTCCATGCAGAATATAAAATTGCCTGGTTTGGCCACACAAAATGCTTAACCAAACAATATTTTGGATAAAATGAATGGGTTGGGTGTCTTAACTGACCACTAGTTTTGGTGGTCCAATGCATTTTAATACAGAAAATAAAATTCAATAGAAAATGAAACAGAATTGCTTAATACATTATTTCAATCTTCTGTTTTACAAAGAGCAACTTCTGCTAGCATCTAGAGAATGATGAAGAGTCTTTGGAAAAACACACAGGAAACACTTTCAAAATTTAATCATTCCAATATCAGAGTAATGAATAAACAAGTTGGTGCCTTCAACCCTTGTGAAAAGATGTGAAAACAAACCAGTACAGCTTATAAGGGTTATTTATTTATCTGTACACAATGTATGTAGATAAATAATCTAGTAAATTGAGCACTTCTAATTTGATTCAAGCATGGAAATGCTTTTCATAATCATAGACCTAAGTCTCAAAAATGGAGCCAGAACCTTACAGGAGAAAATCTAACTATAAAATATATAAAACACAATTACTTGGCCATTCAACTGTATTTTATTTGTGTGCATAAGGTATGGAAAAATGAAAAGTCACTTGCAACAGACATTGCACAGTCACAGAAGAGCATTGAACTGAAAGGCATGTTGTGAAAAGAAGGTTTGCAACACAGAGTAGTTCTTTTGTTTTGAGCATATGATCTTTATTTCAACTATTATATAACTTTATAGAATAAGATTTTTGAGTTGAATTTTTCTCTTTCCTCCTACTACTATTTCAAGTTTTGATGTTCATACTTTAGTTCCCACACTCTTCACAGGACAAAGAATTATTTATGTACAATACTCTGAAAGGCACCTTAATCAACATGCCACCCTTATATTTATTTGTAGTATATGACTTGTACAAATTGGAGTGAGAGTGGGGAGCATACAGTGAACACAAGTCATCAAGAATAATAATTATAAAAGAGGAAAAATAAAGAGTCTGGTGTATGAAAAGTCTGGTGTTTCTTCATTACTCCTTAGTGTATTTATAATCAACCAATTTCCTTTCACATTTTCCGGCTCTGTAAAGTAGGACTCACATATCCTCCCAAAGTTTGTTTGTAAGACATACGATTCCAAGCAGCCATGCTTAAAGGAATTTTCTGAACTATTTTATAATGTGGCAGGATAATTTCCCTGTGCAGATAGTCACCGGACACAGAAGTTATTTCTTTGCCAGAACAATACTTCCCAGTTTTGATAATGATGATTTTGACTAGCTTCTAAGAAAAGCTGCCACCTGGTTATATCCATAATCAGTTCCTGTGCCAGGGATCTCTCCAAGTCACAGGGTTCACAGATGAAAACCTTGAGTGCAGATGAAAACCTTGCACAAAACTTCAAGAGATATCACTTCCCCCGCAGTAAGTATTACGTACATACAGCTTTGCAAAATTTTACCAGCCACCTTTGCCCACAGGAAAGTAATTTTACTCCTTTTGCAGACAAGGGGTCCATTTGCCTGGAAACCCTTCTGTTTCTGGGGGCTGCCTGTGAATTCCATGCTGATGAGGCTTGATGGAAGTAGAGCTTTCCACCAGCAAATACTCATGGTCAAGACAGAAGCAGTGTCGCAGCAGCAGCAGGCAGCTCTTCATTCACAGGAGCATCTCAGTATCTCACTGGTTCTGTTTCAGCAGATCTGAAATCTTTATGCCATGTTCCTCTCTTCATCCTCCTTTCTTAGTGTTTAGGGAAGAAAGAAATGAAGGAAAAGAAAGCCCAGAGGAAGAACTTACACTAAGATATCACTTCTTTTGCTGCACCATACTACCAGTGTTATCATGGCACATGTCAAGAAGACCGGGATCAAGATCAGTGTTATGAGAATTTCATCCGGTGGATCTTCCCAGTGAACCTTTTCTGAAGTACAGTTTGAAAAGAATTGTTTATGAATTCCAGTGATAAAGCCTTCTGCAAGGGGGTTTGGCCAAAAGCAACTTGCATTGTTGGCTTCACGTTCTGTGCACTGGGTAAAGTTGTCATAATACCTGGGAGTAGAAGAAAAATAAGAGAAGTTGAAATAGAATGTATATGCATATTACACTTTGAGAAAGCTATAGAGGGCACCAAAAGAAATCTCTAAGAGTGTGTCTATCATGTAGATTTTCTGCTGAAGGACCTCCAATGGAAGCTGTGGCACAGCGAGGCAGAAGGAGAACTGACTCACATGTACTAATGCAACTGACAGATTTCAAGTGAAGGGATCCCAGATGGACAATAATCAAACCCTGACTGCAGCCAGGACCTCCTAATGCCACTTAAGTACAAGTAGAACTCCCTCACTAGAGATATCTACAGATTCTTCAAAAAACATGCACACAAATGTGCCAAGAATAGGACATGTTGAACAAAGTATGGATATTTCATGCCTCAACTGCCACTAGACATGATGTTGTCGTGAAAATTACGATGTGGCACGAGGACTGAACCACAACATGCAGTGGTGTAAAAATTTTGGTTCTGTTGCACTCTGATGTAAGAAAATAATAGGAAAATAAACACACAGAAATTTAGCTTTTGACAAAATTCCTCTTCTTTCCAACTCCAGCAAATGCCCAGCAGGGAATAAATAAAGACATAAATTCTAATTACATGTTTGCTTATGAAAGGCTGGGAATTCCTTGTAATACCAAGATGTGATTTCGATGCTGCATGTGCTAAAATTTACCTGTCCAGGAATAACTTATATTTATGAGAATAGGCTACCCCTTGGGAAAAAAAAAAAAAGGCAAAAATAAGCCTAAATGAGTTTTGTGGTGTTATTATAGGCCAAAGAAATTCAGGAAGTGAATGGATATGGGGGAGGAGATCGGAAATTATGAACACTGTCTGGTAAGTGCATGAATAGGGCAAGAAAGGGAAGCTGAATTGTTGTCTGTTGCATTTATTTTAGTCCTGCGTGACTCAATAAACTCATTTCAAAGGGGAAGTAAAAATAGAAAGGAGAGAGCAAAAATCCACATGACACCTCCAGGGACAGCATCTTATTACAGCATCTGAAGACCCTACTCTCCCTTACAGTCCATATAAATATGGACTCCTGATGATTGACTTGTTCTGACATTAAGTCCTATAGGAGACTAATGTTGACTCAATGCTTTGCTGTAAACTAAAGGAGAAGAGACATTCAACGTTTGGCCCAAGACTGAAATCTACTGTCTACTTATGTCTGTCAGAGGAAATGTCTGCCTGCCGTGCTGCAACCACACAGGTTGGGCCTGCTGAACATCTAAATTTGCAGGGCTGTGTTCACAGAAGAAGAAAAAGCATCTCAGAAAGAGCCTTCTGCAAGTTCCTTGTAGTTCTCATTCTCATGGAGTTTGAGCCAATATTGCTCCAATCATAACCAAACACACTGGACAATCTAACGCTAAGCTCCGGCATGAAGATGCATATACACACAATGTACGTGTATTTTAGGCAAAGTGACTAGAAAGGAAGCATTTGTGACATCAGCAACCACAGGAAAACAACAGGAAATAAGTTAAAAATAAAATACAAATATCAGCTGCTTGCTATTTTAATAGTGTCATTTTAATGACCTGGTGGCATCCATTCTTTACGTCCTTGGACTAAATTAGGAGCTGGAAATGTCTAGCTGAATGTGGGAGATGCAGTCCCAGAGGATCTGAACAGCAACAGGTCTGAAGGCAAGGCTACAAGGTTCAGCAGGCTACAATGCAGAGATGGAGGAGCATCCATCTGCCCAGACAGGTCAGTGCTCCACCTAGCACAGACACTCCAGAATGCTGGACTCTGATCCAGCCTGCTCTGAGCCATGCTCTCGTGGGCACCTTTGTGCCATCAATGCCTGCTGTTACAGCTGCCTCAACACGAAAATCAACAATAAATCCAGGTGATTTCAGCACAGAAGTACTCTAAACTCAAAGATGCGTTGATGTAATTTTTTTTCCCTCTGTGTTAAAAATCTTATAGAAAATTCAGTGTTCTACAAAGAATTCTGTAGATTTTTTTCTTAAATGTTAGATGGTGTAAACAAAAATACTTCCACTGATTTTTGATAGTAAATACAACATAGCTAGAAAAAGTTGTTTAAGTGTTGCCAAAAGGCCAGATAAAAATAACTTGGGAGATAAATTGTATTTGAAATACTGAATCCCTAAGGGCCAAAGTAGAATAAAATGTTATTGTAATAGTTGGAATACCCTACAATTTTTCCTTAAAACTTTCTCTCATGAATAAAAAAGGGGTGGAAAAAAACTACCTGCACTATAACTCTTAGTTCACACAACTGTGAGAATGTAGATAAAGGAAAATCTCAGCTACTGGGAAACTGCATGTCTGCCAGTAAAGCTGAAATCACTTAAATATTTATGTAGTTTTGTAATTTAGAGTTTATGCACTGCAACAGAAAGTTCATACAAAAAAAAAAAAAGATCGTCTCTGCATAGCACTGTGGAACAGCTGCCTCAGAAGGGAGCACCTGCATCCTCATTACTACAGCATGGGTGTTTTTGTAGTTGATCAATTGGTTTGCAAGTTGGGATTTTTAAGAGAGGGACTGGGGGTTAATAGATATTTAATTTCAGTTCAACTCTCCTATACCTAATCCTTTCATGTCTTATGTAATTCTCTGCATTCAAATTAGGCTGGAAGGGAAACCTTTCCATTCTGTATAATAAAATGGCTATGACAAAAGATGTCCTGGCCTCTGGAGATACTTCAAGCAGAAGTGCATTAAAGTTCCACAACTTTTGAAAGGAAGGAACAAGAAATTATAGTTTCTACTTATTCCCCAAAGAAATAACTGGAGAGCACACTGGAGCTCAAGCTCCTTCACTTTTCAGATTGTAAGAGGGTGTGGGAACATTCTTTGTGCTGAGACACGTTTTCATCTCTTTCAGGCTAGCTACAAGGGACCCAGGTAGTACTCAGGAAAGGGATATTCACAGGGAGCCAGGTCACAAGCTTTGTGACAAATGAGCCAAAAAATTATATGAGTTTCAACTCAGCTAAGTAGTCCAATACAAAAACCCCAAAATCTAAGCACAGTCTGAGCAGCAAAATTCACATAAAGACATGCTTTGCCCTGATATGCTCAGGACAACTGTAGGTTCTGTTGAGGAACCAACTCCTTTGTCAAATTGCACATTATTGAAAATACTTTCAGAGAAATAATTCCTTTCAGAGCAATCTCTAGACTATAACACATTTGTCGTGAAAGATAATTTTCAATATTCTAGAACAATACCTCATTTTCAGAGCACACAAACTTTTTCTCCTGTTCTTAGGTTTTCACTAAACCAGATAATAACAACGGTGTCACTGAGGTTTTTTTGTTTAAACTGTGCAGTACTTTATTTTGTACTTTATCCATGAGAAAATGTATTTTTACATATTACCTATAACTAAGAACCTTGACAGGAGGAAGTTATTATGAGGAATGGTAGTGGACACATTTGCCTTAATGGGACAGTGTTTCAAGGAGTGTCCACTGAAACTATTTAAATAGAGAGCTAGGTTTATTACATCTAATTTATCTTAGGGTACACAGTTGCCTCTCACTCAGGGCAATTCTCAGTCTAAGTGGGGCTTGACTCTCATCTGTAGTTTCCCTCATTTCGAGGGAGGAACGTGGTAAATTCTTGCTCTTTCTTCCTCAATATCCCTGCACAGGAAAACTGCAGAGATGAATGGTTTACAAAAACACAAGCCCCACAGTCCCCTCCCCCACATTTTTGTGAGACTAAGAAAACAAATTGATTGTTCAACTAAGAGTTTTAACAAATAAGCATTTTCCAATGCAAAACTGTTATTTCAATTATCAAAAAGCTGAATACAATATATATATATTACTTAAGACAAACATTTGAGGGCATTTTCTGGCTGCAGCCAGTAGACCCACTGTCAGTTCCAATAGAAGAATCTTTCCACCTCTCCAGCATTTATGGACAGACCACCACAGAGACACTCAGCACATAAGCAGTCAGGAATGTTTTGCAGTTGCTTAATGAGGAGGGCCAAGGATTAAAAAGCAAAACACCACACTTCCACTACCCCATTTTAAATAACTTCATTTCATGCTTCCTGATATGATTATAGAAGGGTAGTACAAGATATATATATACATTGTGAGTAATTTTTTGTTATTTTGAGTCGACTAAGTACTCAGAATACAGTGAAAAATCTCTCAGCCATAACTGAGTCTTGATGCAAACCAGGTAACAGATACACCAGGGACACTCACTCCTGCTACTCTACAATCCCAGACTGCAATGTAGAGGCACTGTTCCAGGACACTACAAGTCATGTGGTGTATTTTAATAAAGATGCTTTAAAACTATTTGTGCTCTCCTAGATTATTCAGCCAAAAATTTCTTTATACACAATCACATATTAAATTGAATTATCATCCTTGTAACCTCCACCCAGACTGGAATACAAAACTCTGAAATGTAAAAATATTAACAAGAAATATCATATGATGAGAAAGGCTTTTCTTGCAGCATTTCCAGATGAACGGGAGGCAGGAAATAGCAAAAAACCTCACAAAAATAAAAAGTCTATTCTTATGTGAGATGCAGCCAGACTGTACAGAACTTCAGGGCATAGCAGCCTGGATGAACTTCAAATAAGGGTCCAAACCTTAGGATGATCATTTCCTGAGGTTTCACCACCATGTTAGAAGGACATCTTTAATTTTATAGAGAGTTAGGAGCCTGTAAATATGGTGGAATATTTCCAAGATTTTCTCAATCAACATCTCTCCAAACAATTTGTGTCTGTGTCTCACCCTTTCTTTAATCATTTATCTTCTGCCAAGATGAGTATTCTCACAGTCACATTTTTACCTCCCTAACCAGATCAGATCTACTGTTGTGCAGTTCCAATACAGAATTTAGCCTCAAGAAAATTATGTGCTACAAAAACACAAGGAAGGAAATTAATGGGGGTGGGGAAAAATGGGTTTAAGGAAAAAATTATAAAGTACAGTTTACTCTCACACCACTAAATAATGGACATTGTG